AGAAGTCAGGAGGAGCCAAATCAGTACTGTAAGGTGGATACCTAATGGTTTCCCATCAGACTCAAAAAATTGCTCTTGTTTGATTAGAAGACTAATCAGGAGTTTTATTATAGTGGAGAATACTCTCTGGTGAAACTTTCCCGGTTTTTCTACTAACATTGGCTAACTTTTTCAAAACAAACATAATAAGCAGATGGTATCATTCTTTGGCGCTACAGAAAATCAACAAGCAAAATGCCTTGAACATCCCCAAAACTATGACTGTGGCTTTTGCTTTGACTGGAACACATCCACCTCTCAGTAGCCATTGCTTTGATTGCTTTGTCTTCAGGATTGTACTGGTAAAGCCAGTTTTCATCTCCTGTTATAATTTTCTAAGAAATGTGTTAGGATCTTAATCCCACTCTTAAAATTTGCATTGAAAACTCTACTCTTCTCTGAACCTGATCTGAGCACATCAGTTTTGGTACCAGTGGAGTAGAAAATTTGCTCAACTTTAATTTTTCAGTCAGAATTTTGTAAGCTGGACCAATTGAGATGTCTGTGGTGTTGGCTTTGTTTTTGTTGCTAACAGTTGTTCTTCAATTAGGGTTTATTGTTGGTAAGTGCTATTTACTTGGTTCTGACTCAGAGCAACCCTGAATAGGGTTGCCAAGGAGCAGCTGGTGGGTTTGAACTGCCAGCTTTGTGGTTCACAGTCCAGTGCTGATCCTACAGCACCACATCAGGAGTCCCATCAATTAGAGCATGAACAAGATTAATATTTTTCCTTGTAAATTGCTGTGGGTTATTTGCCACTGTGGACTTCATCTGAAACATTGTCTTGTTCCTTCTTAAAACAAGTTATCGTTTGGAAAATGTTATTTATTTGGGAGCATTGTCCCCGTAAACTTTTCACAAAGCATCAGTGATTTCACTGTTCTCTCACTCAAGTATCACCTTAAATTTTATTTTGCTCTTGCTTCAATTTTAGCAGAAGTCATGTTTCTCTAACAGGTGCACTTTTTTTTTTCTTTTTTTAAAAATGTTTTATTGTGAATTATGTGATAGTTTACATGGGAGAACATTAGCTTTACATTCATCTTAATCGCATATCGTTTCATTGCCATGGTTACAATGCCCTCCATACATCATCAAACAATCAAAGGGTATGCCCTGCAACCCTGCCCCTTGGTCATCAGCACACAGCCCCTCTCCCTGAGGTCTAGAGTCCCCAGCCGCTCCGCTCCATCTCTCCATGTCATCTTCTCTGCCTGGCATCACTGTTTCTCTGGGTAGGGTCCTGCACTCTGCTCTTCTCCCTTGATGGTCCCAAGGACCTCCACTCCTGGACTGCAAAGTCAACCACTCCCCTTCTTTTCTACAAAATGTCTACCTTTACATTTCCAGCCCTCATAGTCAGTCCTGATAACAATTATTCACTATTGTACCAGAAAAGTTAATAGGGGGCACTTTGCAAGCTATTGTCTTATCCTTCTGATTGCCTCAAACAAGATCCTGTTCAGACATGCTATAACAAGTTAGTACAAGTTTACTTTCATGCAAAACTTTTTTTGAATCTATGTATACCTTTTTCAGAGTAGCATTTTCCATGAACTTTTTGAGGACCCCTTATAAACTATATAGAATATTATGGTAGAAGTAAAACTTTGGCTAGTATTAACATCATTGGTTCTGATGTGCACATTCCATTTAATTACCCCATATCTGAGCAATAATGTGTTTGTTTATTTTTTTAAATGTTTTATTGTGAATTATGTGATAGTTTATATGGGAGAACATTACTTTACATTCATCCTATCATATATTGTTTCATTGCCATGGTTACAATCCCCTCCATGTATCATCAGCCAACCAAAGCCTTCCCCCTGGTGGTCAGTACACAGCCCCTCTCCTTCTCTGGGTCTAGAGTCTCCAGCGATTCCCTCACAATAATGTGCTTTTTATTGCCGTTGTTAAGTGTTGTCCAGTCAGTTCCAACCCATAGCAGCCCTGTATAGGGTTTCCGAGGAGCTTCTGGTGAGCCTGAACCACCAACCTTGCAGCTCAAACTGACTTTGCAGTCCAGTACATTAATCCACAGCACTACACCAAGACTCTATAATATACTAGTTTTACTAATAAAATTAGAGTGACGCTAATATCATTATGGTATGTTTATCTAGTTCATTTATAGTCTTGAAGGATATATTGAATTAATAGAATTTATTATATAAAACTTTAAATTTTCCCATCAACCATAAAGAAAACATTGGCTTTAAAATATTCACACTGCATTCCAATTGTAAGAATATTTTCTGATAATCCTTCCTATTTTTAATGGAACCATTATTGTAAAAACTAAAATGAACTTTTAAAAATATTTCTGATGTCATTAGTAAATGGAAGAAAAGAAAGTCTTAATCTGATTATGAAACAACTTTTTCTTTTCAATTTTTAAATATATAGCTTTGTTTTGTAAGTAACACTTGTGATCTATTTTCAACCTTCAAGTCCAAACTTGTTTAAATTTTAAACATGTATGAACTTGTTGCCTCACTTAAAAAAATAATTGACTTATTAATGTTTGCTTCCTCATAGCATTAACCTTTGTTTATAGAATTGAAGAGAATGTTCAGCCCTGTGAAATCAGTCACTTGAACCTGAGTGAATATTAGACCCAGTTCTTAAAATGAGTTCCCCAGGAACTGTTGAAAGAAAATGTGTTGTTCTTTTTTTCCCCTAAGCCTGCACTGTGATGGTTCTGTGTTAGAATGCCCACCTCTCCCTTAGAAGTCCAGGACTGAATCTCATTTACTACAGCTTCCTTTTGGAGCAGTGTGATGCTAAGAAGGAATACTTAAGTCCTCTAAAGGCCTTGGTTTTTATTCTAGCTCAACATAACCTTGGGCAAATCTTCCCAGGGCTATAGTAGTTTTCTCTTCTGTACTGTATGAGGGTCAGAGCCGTTGGTTTTTCAGTTGAGCCTTAGGAACCACTGGAGCAGACGACTTTTATAACACCCACCATGCCCACTGAGGGAGCACACTATTATCTGACCTAGAATGAGTGTACAATAATCCATAAAGGATTATAAAATTGAAGATCATTCACAAATTGGATCAGCTTTCTTTTTGTGCTCTCCCACCTCATCTCTGCTTCTTAACTTTGTTGTTGTTAAGTGCCGTTGAGTAGGTTCTGACTCATACTAACCCTGTGTAGGGTTTGCAAGAAGCACCTGATGGGTTTTAACTCCCAGCCTTTCAGTTAGCAGTCCATTGCTGATCCTACAGCACCGCCCCAGTTGATGTAGTAACTTTGCCATATATTTGGGCTGAACTTTGTGTCTGAAGTTATTTGAATTCTAAGTTCATTTAAAATTCATAAACATTTAGAAACTATTAATCCCTACTTACCAGAGCAAACTGTCTACTTCAAATAATAAGCAAATATCAAGCTAGTCATTTTTTAAACATTGGGAATAAAAATATAAAATGTTATAAGTTGTGTTAGTAGGAATCAGATAGAACTATGTAATAGCAAACGTTTAAAATAATTTCCTAAAGTGCCATTTTGCACTCCAGATTCCAGCAGTCAAGAAACCTTCACTTCAGTACAGAGGAGGTGCTTAGACCTGCAGATACAAGGTCTGGGCTGGGCTGAATTCAGATCTTGTATCTGAAGGTGCATCATTGCTGCATGAGATTGAGACATTTCCATGTGGTACCAGCTACTTTTAATAAATAGCTCTGTTTTCTTGGGTAACTGAGACAAACTGAATGCTTATTCCAAGCACTTTGAAAATCAACTTTTCTCTGCTTTTAGTTTGTTAACTTTGGACAGTTGCTGACAACTAATATAAATTACATATAATAGTGAATATACAATTCCTTTTCAGGTAATGTCATTGTTAGATTGTAGCATACTACCATGATTGAGTATTGTATTGCATGGAAGTGATGAATAACATGTTTTTATTTCAATTTAGAGAAAACATTTCCAAAGCTTATCTTCTGTCCCTATAAGATCAGTTTTCTCTACATAATAATTTTAAGACAAGTACAGATAGAAAAACCCATAGTTAACTTTGAACTGCTCTTCAGTCTGACCTCCTCCCAGTATACCTTTTACAAAAAGTTGTTTTTAAGTGCCACTGAGTCAGTTCCAACCCATAGCGACCCTGTAGAGTTTCCAAGGAGCCACTGGTGATCTTAACCCGCTGACCTTCAAACGTCTTTACAGTCTAGCGCATTAACTCACAGTACCACAATAAACTGTAAAGTCAGCTTAGGCCCCTTTACTATGTAGCCAGAGCAAGTGATGTTGCCTCTTGTGGTGCTCAAAGATCAAAGGATCTGCTCCAGACAATTTCAGACACGTCTTCTATCCTCTCAAATATCTTGACCATCCCACTGCACAAGATTTTCTTTTCATCTGTTGGTTCTATGTATTTATTTTCTTATTAGACTACCAAGTCCTGGAGATTAGGAATGACATCACCTATGTGTCCTTATTACTTAGCTAATCCCTACATGCTGGGTGCTTCCTTTTACAGTAAAAGTTACTGTAAAAGGAAAGATACTAAATAATCCAAATATTAATAAAGCTGTATTCATATAACATTTATATATATATATATATATAAAACATTGGTGTCCTGGTGTGGTGCTGTGGGTTAATGCACCAGACTGCAAAGCCGTTTGAACTGTAAGGTCGGTGGTTCAAGCTCATCAGCTGCTCCTTGGAAACCCTATACGGGGTCGCTATGGGTCGGAACCAACTCAATGGCACTTCACAACAACAACAATATAACATTATCCTTATTCTTACCTACTCAGTGACTAAATAACATTCTGCATTTAATGTATTTATCATGAATCCTAATCCACTTTCTTTTGTTGCAGTGTTATTACGACCTTACAGTTTTAAGGATTTTGTGCTTTAATTTAATTTCAGTTTGTAACTTTTTAAAGCTGTATTAATTATGATTAATGTGTGCCTTTGAAATATTGTTATTCTAGTTACAGGTGAATCCATGCCTTCTTTTTCTGGAAGTGACTTGCCAAGAAACGACAACAGCATATGGTCCAAAGTCACTGAGGAAGGAACAGAATTGTCACAGCAGCTTTTGAGGAGTGGTTTAACTGGAACTGAAATAGACCCTGAAAATGAAGAACTCATGCTGAACATTAGTTCTCGGCTACAAGCAGCAGTTGAAAAACTTCTAGAAGCCATAAGTGAAACTAGTAGTCAGGTAACCTCCTGATACTTCTGATAAGCTGGTATTAAATATGAAATAGGTTTTCTTTTAAGCAGTGGAATGACTAAATCTTTTTCTCCACTGTCCACAGAAATTTCGTTAAGCACCCTTTAATAATTGGTTTCTTTGCTACAAACAATACTGATAGTAATATTACTCTTCTTAGGCACAAAGCATTAACCCAGTGCTAAAATTTAGATTTTCTAGACTCTCAGATGTGCTTTTTTTCCTTTTCAAGTTTATATTGTGAATTATGTGATAGTTTACATGGGAGAACATGAGCTTTACATTCATCCTATGGTATATCGTTTCATTGCCATGGTTATAATCCCCTCCATGCATCATCAACTAACCAAAGGGTATACCCTACAAGCCTGCCCCCCAACACCTACCCACCCCCACCCCCCAGTCGTCAGCACACAGCCCCTCTCCTCATGTGTGACTTTTGAATACTCAAAGAGATCTTAATTTCACCAGTATATGAAATGTTACATTAAAATATTTATTTTAAGTAACAGTGATACAGAGAATATATAAAACAAACCATGTTGTCTAATATATCATAATACACTACTATTAAAATTTGATAAACTGTATTTGTAATTCCTTCACATGATTTTTATATATTTTTAACAAATTAGAATATGTTATTTCACTTTACAATTCCTTGATTGGAAACTTGAATGCAAGACAGTTTCTACGTTAAAGTGAAACTTTAGTAGAAACTTTAAAATACATAATTATTGTATTTATAACCTTTAGTAAAAACTTTAAAATACATAATTATTGTATTTATAACCTAAGTTGTGATTTTCTATAAAGTTGTATACCATGTATGATAACTGTGTCTTAAGTTACTAGATCCAGAATTTTTAAATGAAGTTAAGTTCACTTAATTATTTTAAAATGTTTAACCTAAAACAAATGTAGAATCATAGCTATGTGTCTTGGTCATCAGCTGTAGATACATGGTCAGTAGATACTGTAATACATTACAGCTGTACATACGTTGTTGTTGTTGAGTGCTGTCTGGTCGGTTCCGGCTCATAGCAGTCCTGTATAGGGTTTCTGAGGAGTGACTGGTGAACTTGAACTGCTGACCTTGTGGTTCAAACCGACTTTGTAGTGCAGCGCATTAACCCGTAGTGCCACATCAGGACTAGTAAATGTTATTTTGGTATCTTTATTTAAAGTACTGTAAGTCCGAGTATTTCAAGGTGTTGGAAACAAAAGCTCTTATTCTGATATCTGACTTTCATTGATGCTTATTTATTTCTGTAAGAACTCATTCAATATGGTATGTTCCTGCAATAGTAATGACTATTGGGCTCAGCAATTTTGAATATTGTTATATATTTGGTAGTTTAATGCCATATTTATTTACTTTTGCTCAGGTTAATGATTATAGGCCAGTTCTTGAGTCATCTCTTGATCAGTAACATGAATGAATTTGTTAAACACCTACTATTTGGCCGCCTTATCCATTCTTTCCCCCTTTTTTGTAACTTGATGATTGGGATTCAGTGAAGAAGACATTATCAAAACAACATATATTTCCACTGAATAATTGCCATCCAGATAATAGTCTTCAGATATGACACTTAACCAAATTTTTCCCAGATTCATTCTTCTTTTGAAACTGTCTAAATCTTCTTTCATGATACAGTATGAACTCTACCTTTCCAGCAATGTTGTTGTTAGGTGCTGTCAAGTCAGTCAGCTCTGACTCAGCAACACTATGCACAACAGAACCAAACACGGCCCAGTTCTGACCATCCTCACAATTGTTAAGATTGAGCTCATTGCTGCTACCACTGTTCCGGTCCATCTCGTTGGAGGTCTTCCTCCCTGAAATTGCCACACATTGCCATGAAAATTCATTAACTAGCCAGGGAAATATGCCCGATGCTACTATTATACTTCTGCGTTGTTTCTTTATAGACTGGCTAAACTGAATTATTCATATGCAGTTAAGTAGGACTCAGCATTTTTTCCATAGACACATTCAGGAAGTATAATATGATGATGTGTACTTATTTAACACAAGAAAATGCTATTTGTGGGCAATTCATGTTTTTTAAAACTTTCTTTCAAAGCAAGTATAAAATTATTGAAAAACTTGTTTTAATAGTTTAAAATTTTTCATAAGCATCATGAATTATATTTCTGAAAACTCAGATTTTTGTGTGTTTGACGATTGCAAAAGGATGACTGTTATTATTACTTAGTTTGCTATAACAGAAATACTACAAGTGGGTAGCTTTGAAGAACGAATTTATTTTCTCACAGTTCAGAAAGCTCGAAGTCCAATTTCAGAGTTTAGCTCTAGAGTGAGCTCTTTCCTTGACTGTTTTAGCTCCTAGCACCTGCTGGCAATCCATGGCATTTCTGGGCTTGTGATGGTACATCCCACTATGTTTTGTGTCTGTGTTTGTTCTGGTCTTGCCTTTCTGCTGTTGCCTCATTAACATAACAAAAGCCCCATTTCCAGACAGTCTTGTATACAGTAGGATTTCAACACATATTTTGGGGAAACACAGATCAATTTATAATAATGATTTTTGTGTGCATAAAACAGTAGTGGGCTCATCTTTAACACATAAACCTTAACAATCAGTCATTTTTTTTTACTGCCAGCAGCCCAAGTGTTAGTAAGGAATGCCATTACGAAAAACCAGCTTCATTTGTGTTACTGATTTAACAACACATTAGCTTATACTAATGGAAACAGAATGTTTATTTCAGTCTCAGGTTTGAAATTATGAGTGCTTTGTCATGTTGTGAAATTGCATAGCTAGACAATTAAAATTCCCATTTTCCAGCAAGATTTAGTTTAAATCTTGGCTTTTCTAGTTAAGCCCTATGTTGGCTTTCTTTGAGAATGGTTAAACTTAAGTCACATATAAATGATGCTGCCCACTGAATCACCTGAGCTAATTGAGGCATTTTTTTAATGGTTGGTTTCAGAACCTTTGCCTGTGCTTCATAGTTAACGCCTTTGGCTCTGTGAAAACTATACAAAGGGACTTTTTAAAGTTAGTGGGAAAATCTCATTATCTTTTAGTTTCACTTTTCCATGAACCTTTTGGTGATTCTATATTGAATTTCCAGATGATCCAGTTTATTTTTGTTGTTGTTTTCCTGTAAGCCATATTAGTATTTTAATTTATGTAATTTGTACTTTATTTTGTTCCATTAAAACAACTACTAATATTTATCTTTTCTTGAACGCTATTAGATATTTTTTACTTGGATTCTTGACCCGGTTAATAACTTGTCAATTACTTGATGTCATTTTAAATTATGATGGGCTAATTACTGCAGTATAATATTTGTCTTTTGACGTACACCATGGAAAATAGTGAATAAGTCACAACTTATCAGAGATTGTACTTGTTCCTACAGGTTACTAAAGAAACTCCCCCTTAATCCATGAATGCTACCAGCAGGCAAAGTATGTAGGATCTACCTACCATTCCATTCCCTAGATAAAGACCATTCCTTGATGCAACTGTTTACTCATGTTACCAGGTAGTGTGAGGTACAGTAGGAACCTGACCATATAAAAGGTTGCATATTCCAGATTATTTTCAGTTTGCTAAATAGTAAAGCAGCACTGTGTTATTAAGTGTTGCTGTGTTGTTTTAATTTAAATACCACAGAACAGATCCCCAAATCTTTTCCTAGAGAAAGTAGTTTTCAGAGTGTGTTCCCTTAACTATCAACCTCAGCATCACTGGTGGACTTCTTGCTATATATAAATGTAAATTCTCAGGTCTTGCCTCAGACCAACTGCAAAGAAAGTGGCACCAGCCATCCCACCCACAACACTCTCTGCTCAGCGTGGTTTGATAAATCATTGCAGTGGCCACACAGAATCCAGACCCATACTCACAGTTATGGGGCTCATTAGGGAGGTTACCAGGTTACAGTGCAGGATCAGAAATGCTCAGGACACAATTGTTCAGTCAGGACAACCGCTCCTGTGCCGGGCCCACAAGTAGACCTCTTTTTGGCCCTTGGCCCCTTGGTCTTGGCCTCGACGCTGCTTGGCAATTTTACCGAGCGCTTTTAGGGTTGCTGATCAATGTCCACAGAACACATCACTCCAGCATAAGCTCAGCCTGAAGGCACTTGACTCAAGCTCAGTGGGTCAGCAGACCTGGCTCTCCCAATTAAGTGCTTGGAGGCACCCTAGTCTGCAGGCAAGCCTGCTGCCCAGAGTCACTCAGCTTTACTTGTTTGATGCTGAGAAGCCCAGTGCTGAACCTCCTGTGCTGGCTCTTGGCTCTGCTGCTGCTCCTGCTTCTCTACCACTCCTCTGGTGTCTCGGTGTTTTATTCCAGGATTGAGGAAGTTCAGTGTGCAGGGATCTCAGGGTCCAAAATACACACTCCACTCCTGACTCTTTTTCTTTGAGGGTAGTGAAATCCTCCCTTCCTACTTCTGAGACAGCGTATTTTGTAGTCACATTAGAATCCCAGGTTCTTACAATCACAGTGAACGCTGCTTGCCATTGCAGCTGAATCGTGTCATCCCATCAGCATCTTCTCCTACCTTCTCATACCCAGGAAAAGAATCATTGCTAGGAGTTGCAAAGACCAAGGCTAGAAGAGATGTATTAAATACTTCACTACACCATACCTACAGAATAGAGAAGTAGGGATCAGGTCCAGCAAAGTGTGTTTTCACATGTCCTTTACATGAGTTTGATGTACACTGATCTAGGGACTATTAGTAGTATAACGTTCATATTTATCAGGTTTAATATAAGGAGCTCTGGTAGCGTAGTGGTTATGAATCAGGCTGTAAACCTTAACATCGTAGTTCGAAACTACCAGCAGCTTCGCGGGAGAAAGATGAGGCTTTCTGCTCCCGTAAAGATTTACAGCCTCAGAAACCCTGTACAGGGTCGCTATGGGTAGGATCCGACTCAACGGCACTTAACAACAACAACAACAAATATAAAGTTTTCTTTTCATAACCTATTATGT